CTTTTCAGTGCTTCTAAACACAGAAAGGGAACCAGAGCATTAGCTTGCCATCTTAATACACACACGGCAAGGCTCACAAACCCAAGCAAAAGCTGAACCTGAGCCTTAACACTAGGATGGGCCAATTCAAGCTAAGAGCAACACTTAAGCTGTGGGTATAGGTGGATGCGGAGTGGGGTCAGGGCAACATTTAAATAACTGCTAGGTTCTACAATGGAGACCTATCTTCCCCTCTAAACAGCTGCAGTAAGAACTTAGAGCTGGATAAATAAAGTTGTCCAGTATTTAGAAGTCAAATTTCTAAATATGAAGGAGGAGGTCTTCTCAGAAAGAATGGAGTTTGAGACATAAGACAGGCTTCAGTCTTAAGTCACTGAGCCTGTAGTCTCTGAAAGACCAGTAAACAGGATACTAAGACATCAGTTAAGTGCAAAAATTTGCAAAGTTGTGGAAATCCGTGGCCACCCTCTGTCCATCACAAGAAAAGAAAACTTGTACAGATTTGCAAATTCCAGGGAAAAATCTTTCTAGGGGCTTCTGCCCAGCACTCATATTAATATATGCTTGCCGCTCTCATGAGAGTTAGAAAAGCTAGTGAAATTCATGGAAATGTTTAAAAGCTTTATTTCATTTGACTGTATGGGAAATCATACTATTTGTATCTGTATTGGTCTACTGTGATATTTTGAACCTTTACTATAGAATAGTGCAGCTGAATTTCAGAGAGTGAGAGAGACTGAAACAAATTAAATTTTAAACTAGATATATGGCTACTGATCTTGTACTTGTAGGTCAGCATAGTAATGTGCTCCATGTCGTAACTAAAGTATCCTGTACAGTTTCAGAAAGTGAAATTTAGGAACACCCAAAGTCTGAAAGAATTTGATAGGATACTGGGCTTGGATTATGAATTGATCAAATGTTATCAACAGCATCAAAATACCATCTTGCCTGATAATTTACAGATGCTTATTCAGGTGCTATGGCTGAAAAGGATTTCCCTGTCCTCTCATGTGACATTTGCCAAAGAAATCCCCATGACATTTGCTACAAAGAAAGGAATCTCCTTCATTAGTATGCCATTGAGCATTATAAAATCCAGTGATGTTCAGATGAATTAGAAAGATAAAGATATACAATCACAATTTAATATTGCAAAGCACTGATAAATAATCCAGTGATTAATACAACAGAGAAAGAAACAGCTTAAAACAAAGCCTGGTAACATTTTGGCTTGCTCTTCTTTTCCAAGAGCATCTTAAAGGCTCTGACGGACAAGCTACAATACCTTAGCGTAAGGCAGGAGATTACTACCCTGAGCTCTTTACCTCACACATGATGTGCAATTGAAGAACAGCACATCAATCAATTCCTAACAAGCTGGGAACCCACAGCACAATTTCGTAATAATCTGGGATGATTTCCCTAAAAATCACCTCAGCAATTGATGGATGAACAACTGAGATGTCCACGCAGCAGACGTTTGGGGAGCATCTAGGGAAGGTAACCTTGCCTTTGCCTTACTAAGTGGTTCCACCCCTCCATCGGTGCTCCAGGCCAAAATCATGCTCATACACTTGAAAGATGATGAGCTAACTTTTTACGCTGAGGTCACATTGGAAAATTGAGATCTGCAGTCAGATATAGATAAACTTGCTGAGATTTTAGTAAGAAAACCAGGGTGGTAGTGGGAGGAACAGAAAAAAAAAAGAATTCCTGGTAATAGCAACTCCAGTTCCTTTCTACCTCCAATTTCCTACATTTATGGGCTATTTCTCAATTTCTGCACTCTCCTTGATCTTGAATTGCCATTTCACACAAGTTATCTTACGTGCCGCTGGAAAGAAAAGCAACAGGTTTGACTTCGGGTCCTCTCTTCCTTGTTCACTTAATGAGAGTACAGGATCATCACATATCAGATTTATATCCTGTCTTGGATTCCCAAAATGTTTGTTCTTTCCGATAAGATAAATTCCACTGCAGAGGAACTCTTTGAAGAAAATCTCCTGTCTAGCCATTTTTAAAACCTTTTATTTTCCTTTAGCCTGAGTCTAGTTTAATATTTATACTGTGTGATGAAGCAGAGTATCAGCAACAACCCATCATAACATCTGCAGCCTATTTTCCAGGATAGAAAAACCTAAGTATGTTCAGTAGCTACTTCTATTACTAAATCTTAATCAATTGTTTTTATTAAGATTGTCCTTCTGAACAGGTCCACTGTCCTTCTGAACCTCTGGAACATTGAAGTGACAGAAGAAGCAGCATTGTACTACCCAGCTGAAGATGGACCCAGATGATACAAGCTCTGCAGGCTGCTGCAGCTATTAAGTGACAGTATCCTTTCAAACTGCACTGTTGTGCTCCCCCTCACCCTGCCCATGTTACTAGACTAGGAGCACAAACAAAATACTAATTGGAACCCATCAGTTATAAACAACAGAACCAAACGCAATCTCCCCAACCATGTTACATTATAAATAACAGATCACACAGACTCAATTTTAATAGTTTTATAATTAAAACCCTAATTTTTCTTGCATAAGATAATAAGGATAACATGCTGTGCTCCATTACTCTCTATGTCCAATTATTATAATGTAGCTTGTTTCTTCCTCCCCTCCCCAAACAAAAAAAAAAAAAAAAAAGAAACATTAAAAAAATTGCAAGTTCGTATCTCAGTCTCCAGCTAGGGTGGATTCCAGGAAATTTTGAACTAATTCACAATGATAAAGATTGGCTTGTTTATGTCTTCAGCTTATTACATGTTTCTCCTCACTTGTGTTAGCTGAGAGAGGTAAAACAAAGCTCCTCCAGGGCCGCAAGCTGGACTGAACAAAAACCAGGCAATGCTCCCTGCATAGCAAGAGGCTGAAGTGCCAAAGACGGTGGCTGTAATTGCATCATCTTTGTTTGCCAAACCGTTAGGCAGGCTACCTGCCACAAAGTAACTGCAGATCTCACATGTATTTCCGTGAAGTTGTGCTCTTAATGTTTGGCACTTACAAAAGTACTTTGAGCATTAAAGGTTTATTGCAGCTACATGACATGCATGCAACTAGCATATTATCATCCCCTCATTTTAAGGGTGGAAAATTAAAGGTTTCAGCCATGCTCATATACCAGACGGGCAGAACTGGAATTTAGATTTTCATCAAGTAGGTTCAATCCAGGACTTCAATCAATGCTTTGTTCCTTCAGGGAACTTAAGCCTGTCAGTTTAATTAGTATTTAATTTGTGTATTTTTCCAAGCCACTAAAAAAACCCCTCAGACATTACCCTTCCAGCCTTCAAAGTGACTTTAAAAAGGGGATAGGTATCCCTGAAAAATTAACACCTTAAAACCAGATTGGAAAAAAATGCAAAGCAGTGATGGCACTCTAGCTTGTAGGTCATTATATTTTACAATTGCTTCCATTTGACTAATAATAAAAAGTCTGCAGAGTGCACTAAAAATTGGAAATACCCCACTTGAGCTTTTAATTAGGAAACATGAGAAATGTAAAACCAAATCTTAGCAACATCACATGCTTCAACTTTGATTTCACTGTACTGTTATTGCCAGTTACAGTGTTGTCTGGAAGAACCAGAGTTAGAATAGTATAGTGCATAGGTGTCGCATGCATAAAGTAGCAACATGTTGCCATTTTTCTACTGTTTCTGCAACAAAGCAAGGTGAAATAATGGGGGGTGAGTGGGGTGGGGAAGATAAAAACCGTAAGAAAGTGAATGCTCACTGGGACTGGCCAATATCGTACACACAGAGAGTTTCTGACTGGTGCCTTAAAATCACAATAAAAGTAAGATAATTTAAAAAAAAAATCTTTCTAAAGGTTTGATAAAAAACTGTTCTTTAACACTTTCATTGAAATTATCTGCCTTCTATAAAAAATGCCAAGTTTTCTTGGGAAAGTCAAATCCAAGAACTACTTCTGAGTTTTGGTTTTGCACTTAAAAAATTACATACTCCAAAAATTGTTTTTCTGCCCAGTTCCTGTTGAAAAATCCCAGTTCCTGGCCTGGTCTTACATAAACAAATAAGATAAATATCAGATGCCCTCTACTGGCCCTCTGTTTGAGTTTCAGAAGTTATGAATTTCCCAAATTCCTTCTAGCCCTTGCTTTTCTTACAGTAAAGCTGCAGTTTCCTGCCTCTGTCAGACAAGTCCCACCACTTCAAAGATTAAAAGTGCGGTTAGTTTGGTGATATAGCTGTCAGCATGCAATCAGAGTGTGACGTGGACAGAAGGAAGCTGAAAGGGCTGAGAGAGAAAACTGGCAGCTCCAGGAAAAAGATTTGGGTTAAGGGAGGAGAAAGGAAGGTAGCTAGAACAAGGAAAAGATCATACCAGGATTGAAGCATGAAAGAAATATGGATGCCAGTAAGCACAATTCAGTGCCCTAAACATGACGGGAGGGGAAGAACCTGGGATCCACACCCTACTACACATCCTTTTAAACCTTTGGGTTAACAAGTTTCCTTGAACAAATCAACCTTTCCTCTAAAAATGCTCTTTTTGCTTTCAGATTAACAACATATATGGCAGGTGGTACAGATACAAAAATGTCACAACTCTCTTTACAGATTCCTAGCTTGACTACTAGGAAGAACATGCTGTAGCAGGGTTATATTTGTGTTACACATGAAGCTTCACAAACAGGCAGATTTGGGATGCAGGGAGATGAATATGCAGTAGGAGAATACATACTCTCTGATTAGAGATAGCTCTTGAAGCAGTTTTCCACTGATACTAAGCTCAGTGCCTGGCGTGCTCAACTAGATTATACTCAGCAGATACTCAGGTTTTGCAACACTCTCCTCCACTCAGAAACAGACCTGTAATGCTCCTGCCTCCTTAGGAGGGTAAACACTGGTGTATTCTTCTTGAGTAAAGGTCCTGTATTGCAGAGGCAACTTCACTATCTTTGCAGCCTAGTAGGCAGCTTGAGGAAAGGGCAAAACCAAATGGAGAAGCCCTCCATCATCTCTGTTTCTTACCTTCCCTTCAAATCTTGCGATGGCTCCCAGCTGCACTCGGATATTCCGAGGAGGAAGAGTAAATGCTGGTGCTTCAGCAGGGACAGGAGGGCTAAGTGTCAGGGAGGTTTTGGAGACTCGAGTAGATGTCACCATTTTCACATCCCCCATGATGTGGACTGTAAAAGAGAAACAAGTGGTAATACAGAAGTTATGATGATTAATTACTTACATTACAGTAACAGCTAAGAATCAGACCAGGAGCAGATTGGAGCGTATATGTATGCTATATTCGTACACATAGTAAGAGTCTTCAGCTTAAGGTGACAAGTACTATTTTCTGGGTGGGGAACTGAGACCCAGGAAGATGGCCTGTGTGCCTACAGTTGCGGTCAGGGTCACAGCCTTGAGCTGAACTCAGTTTGAACTCTCAAGTCCCCGGCCAGAGCCTTAACCAAAAAGTCATCCTTTACAACTGCATTAAAAGGTAATAACTTATTTCAAGAGGATATTTTCGCAATGTGACTTTGATTTTCCTGGCCTGGACTACACCAAAATCAATAAGTCTCAAAAGTAGAGCCAGCGTTAAACAAGTACTTATGAAATAAAGAGACCTCTGTTTGCACTGGATTTAAGTTGCAAGCGGGAATGTGGAAAATCTGATTTTTCATACCATGCTTTCAAGATCTTAAGAAATATCTGGATATCTCCCTCCAAAGTACTGCTAGTACATAACAAATACTTTTGCAGAAATTCCAAGTCTCTACTTTACTGCAAATCCTCTATAGTACGTAGACTAGTAAAATAGCATGAAGACCAAATTTCCTAATGCTACAAAAATGGCATTTTAGAGACCTCATTACAGATAGCTGCTTCAGAGGTGATTCTTCTGCTACATATTTCATACTTCCCAACAGAAAGCAAAAATTATTTATTTTTGAAAAGTAAAATTTCAGGTTTTCCAGAAAAAAAAGTAGTAGCTGACCCTAGTACCAATTCCTTGAATCATCTATGTAAATTAGAAGCCCCACTGTGAAATGGCTACTTAATAGACAAGTTTAACACAGGAAAAAAACTGAGAAATGGCTTAACCCACCAATAGGTCATGTTGAACCAATGAAGAACACTGGGCTTCCAGTCATAATCCTCTGCCATACACACTAATCCATGATATGTATTTATTAATCTGATTCTGATGAAAGTTACGATAAACAATACTTGAGTAAACAGTGAACTTCAATTTGAACAAGAGAAAAATCAATTAATCTAGGGCTACATTATTCTTGACTGTGTGAAGGATACTTTTTCTATAACAGGCTGCAGTTATTTGGGGAACAGGGGAACACAAAACTCATTCATTTCCAAATAGGACTTACACTTGAATGTTACATGCATGCATCTGAAAACCCCGTCTGAAAACATAGTTTTCCATATAGCATACCTGACATGCTCCATAAACATACAGAAACACCTGCTCTCATTGATCAAAAACAGCTTAAGAGGGCAGCTCCTTTCATGGAAATTAGTAGTCTAAAAGTTAAATGTTTAATCTGAACTAGAAGTTTTGGCTCCCAACAGAGAGAAAGAGGTGCCTTCAGAGGGTGTTTTGTTCCAAGGTGTGGGAGCCACAGAGCTTTCTGCTTCACAGTATGCACTTGTCAGAAACTATGATTTAGAAGACAAATCTTTCCAAGATATCCGTTACATCATGTATGCACACAGGTTTAAAAAAAATACTTGAAATCTCCTTCCTCATTCATAAGAATCCAGATGACATGGACTTTGGATTTCTTCTGGAATGGTGTTCTGTTAGCATTTCTGTATATTGACATGCAAAAAACCAAGAAAATCCTCTAGCGTTTCTAACAATTGAATTGCTGAAACCAACACATAAATGGAATAAAGATGGTTTCCTTAACTGTGATGCAAAGCTTTAAACTAAGAAATTCTGCCTTCATTTACACGAGAGTTAATCTTGCAGTGAAACTCTGTATTGGCACCCAGTCACTTGAGAGCACAGTGTAAGTCTCCCTTTCCAGTATAAGCAACTCTTCAAAACACAAACAGAAAAAACCACCAAAATTATCATTGTACCTTAACTTAGCAAAGAACCATATGAAATCATAATATAATTTAAATAAGGAAGAAACTGATTGTATTCCAGAGACAAGAGGTGAAATCAAAAACTTGCTTCTTTTCTAATAAATGTATTTAGCACCCTAAGAGACAAAGAATGACAGTCTATCACAGCTATAGTCACTGCAATGAACAACCATTTGCCTGAAAAAGTGAGAGAATTCTTCTTTCAATTGTTCTTTCATTAAGGACAAGACTCCAAACTCAGTTCTCCGCTCAGCTAAAACCACAATTTATCCCAGCAGACTTTCAATTACATCATTACAGCTGTAAACTGATGCATACTGAGTCCATATTTACCAGCACATTTTTAGAATTTATTTTTCTTTACAGATTAAGAACAAACATTTTTCAAATCTCAAATTGCCATAAATATCAACTGTGATCTTTTGTCACTTTTAGTATATGACATTGATAATTTTGTATCTGCTTACCTCTTCCGAATTGGCCTGAAACCCATTTTAAGGTTTATTTCTAATTTTCTTTTTTTCTGTCCTCTTTCTCAAAGTGCTTCCTTGAACTTCTCTTTTCCACAGATGATCTTCACTTTTCGACATGCTCAACTAACTACTGAATCTTCAGTTTTTCTTCCCACATGTGCTTCTCCACTGCTAAGCTACAGGTTTCCATAGCCTATAAATGCCAAAATCTGCCAAAATCTTTCACAGCTAGTCTCTCTAGCTGTGAAACTCTTACCTAACAAATCAGTCTGCCAATACAAGCCTGCAATAAAATTTTCAGACCACCAGCAGTGACAATAATGTGCCAGGTATAATACAAATGCTATGAAAATCTTCTCCAGTCTGAAGACATTGTAATGCATTTGATTCCATAAGAAGTCAGTAACAAAACCTATCTGTCCACACACATCTGTATCAACTTAGCAGACAGTTTACAAAACCAAAACAACATCAAAAAAAGCATATACCCCCTAAATTTTGTTTTAAAAATAATATTGTAGGAGTAGTAAAATTGAAAACAAAACAAAAAAAAACAACAACCAACATCCAGAATCTAATTCAAAGTCGATATTCACCCATGCAAATAGAACTCCATTTTGGTCAATGCCACTATAATGGCTGAAGCAAGCAAGGGAGAAAACTATATGCACTGCAGATGGTCACACGACTATTCTGTAGGGACCGAATGCTCAAGTATCTGTCCTTAGGTACAATGCACTGCTTATGCAGGGCAACTTCAAGGAACTTGTTAGGCATGACACCTGCTTACATACAGAAACATCCTCACTGGGTATGCTACAAGACCAAATTCACCAAGTACATGAAACACAGCCACTGGCACACTGGCCTGGAAAATACACTGTATTGAACATATGCTCATCCTCCAAGCATCACTGGGCTCAGGTATGTCTGGACTGCATTGGATGAGAAGTCCTGTGGCTAGGAAATACCCTCTGATGAAAAGACTGAGCTAAAGCCCAACACCAGCTTTCCACTGATTTCTCTGGCTATTCAAGCCCCACACAAAATGAAATGGAAAAAAAAAAAAAAAAAAAGAAAAAAGAAAAGAAAAGAAAAGAAAAGAAAAGAAAAGAAAAGAAAAGAAAAGAAAAGAAAAGAAAAGAAAAGAAAGAAACAGGAGGGGGGAAATTAGAAAGAAAGAAAAAAATCCTGAACAACTAAGCCACTCTTTCTGGTCAGGCTACATTTCTATTGCATGTTGGTAACATGCCAAAAACTGTCAACAAATTGATGCCTAATATAGTAAGACTGTAAAGCATAAAATAAAGTAATAGCTAGTCTTTTCCATAAGCACATCTTGCACAGATTTATGTTTTTCTAAATAAAGTGTCTAAATGGGATTGAATTTACAAATGAATATTAGCTCAAATCAGCACAAGCAATTTTCTAGCAACATAAGCCTCTAATCATCTACATTTAGCAGTCTGACTTTAATTAGCTATGTATGCTGAAGATGCTTCTAGTAAATAATTAGGAAGGGTTTCTTTCAGCTTAGAGGTTGTTTAACAATTATGTTCCCAAACAAATAAATAATTCCATGTTGTGCAGTTTGGTGTCACTATGGAACTACCATGTCCAAATATTTTAAAGAAATAATGTTCCAGAGAACAAATCTTGTTCAAGCTTAAAATTTGATAGACAGGAAGAAAGCAGACACTTAAAAGCTATGGAATGTATCTGATTTTTTTTTTTTTTATTTTATTTAAGCAACTTTCTAGAATAAGCCTATCCCCAAAATCTTTTTCTTCAGTATTTCAAGCTTGCTGCTGAATAAGATTTCAAGGATGCTACGTGAACTCATAAAATTTCATTTCACATGCTGTGCGCACCTAGACTATGGTCTTTAAACAAAACCAACTGTAACTGAAGTTGCAATACAAACATTGTGGTATTAAACATAAAAGGAAACCACCATGCAAATGTTGGCTGGTAGGGTAGCGATGTGGCTAGACAGCATTTCTAATCTGGATTTTTTTTATTCTTAATCCTTTCTAAAAAGCAACAAATCCTTACAAATTCTCACAGTGTGCCCTCTAATCTTTCTAATACCAAAGCAGACTAATGTGCTTCAAGCATTTTCTACTGGGAACAAATTTCTGTCACTTAATACTCTGCTCACAAAAATAAATCCAAAAAAGCAAACACTAAGAAATCCACCTCATAGTTGTCTTTCCTTCACTTATTTTATGTAAGTAAATACTCACCATCAGCTTCCTGCATAACCATTTAATTATACTAATTTCCTTTTACCAAGTCCTTCCTCTGAGGCAGAAGAAAAATGAGTTGCAGAGAGGGCATGTGTGTGTGCATGAGAAAGCAAGCTCGCGCAAGTGAGAGGAAACCAGAGCTGCCAGCTGAAAAACCTTTATTTGACTTACTGATATTGCAACTCTGCATCTAAGCGGCACATTTTCACTTGGTCCAGCTACTCTATTATTTTAGCCAGACTGCATTCAATAACCTCGGAATCATCTCTGAAATTTGGATAGAACCTTTTGAGCTCTTTAAAAATAGGAGCAGAAGAACAGACAGCCCAGGGGTTAGAGCATTTGT